CCTTATTTTATTTTATTTTTTTATTATTATTATTTTACAAAATCTCTTCCGCGAATATATATATATATTTATTTATTTATTTATTTCCCCCTTAACTTCGTGTTGTAGAATTTAACTTTTTTGATTTACTCGTATTTTATTTTACTAAATTAATTTTATTGCTTATTCAGCTTTTTAAATTTGTATAAAATATGACGTAATAATTACGTTTCAGAATTGACATTGTTACGTATATTGAATATTTTAAAAATTTAATTATTACGTTATCGAAAAGTATTTTTTACTGTTTTGTTTAAAATTATTGCGTAACAGTGCTGACGTAATAATGCATTACACGTGACGATATTTGAACATTATTATTATTATTTTTAATTAATGTAACGATTCGCGTAACGTCGTAATGTAGATTTCATTAGCTTCTGTATTGTTGCGTAATAGAGGGACGTAATAATAATATAAATTTCCCTATTCCATCTCTTTCATACGTAGCAATGTAAATTTCGTTACTCTATTACATAACAATACAACTGGTGTATTGTCGAGTAAGAAAGCTGGCGTAATAATGCATCATCGAAAAGACAATAAGCAAACATTTTTACGTAATAAACAATGTAGTGACGTAACAATATAAATCTGGGAGGTAATTCCTTTATAACAATACATTTTAACAACAAATAACACACGAGATTTTTGTTTTATTTTACGGAAACAATAGACGTACCCTGTACTGAATTTAATGAATTATTCTGTTTACAATTTAAAAATATAAAGGAAAAAAACGAGCTTAATTACACAGCAATGTAAATGTTAAAGTAATTTTTTAGCTTGAACAAACACGAGTAAATTTTTTACACTTGAACCTTTAAACAAATCTTTCTTTAACAGAAGAAACTTACACTAAGCATACATTTTTAAATTAATTTAGTATAAAGAATTCTCTGCGTGATTATTATTTCTTTTATTTAGAATTAAATTAATTAATCATTTTTAAAAATTAATAATAATAATTTATCTTACAGACTCAGAAACTGATACTTCAAATCCTGGAAACTATACAGGTAGGTACTGTACTTTAACTACTTTCCTTTTTTTTATTTTTCCTCCACTTAAATATAGAATTAGATGGTGTATGATTAATTGGAAGAGACAACACTTCAATTTCTACTTCAAGAGATAAAAAAAAACAAAGCTAATAAAGGATAAAGAAAAACTCTTAAGTACACAAAGACCTTGTTTGTCCTTCTGACTAGAACTTCTTACCTCTAATAAGTTACCCTTACAGATAACTCTCTTCTGTTAGAATAGAGCACTCAATCAGTTTCCACAACAGAAGTTTTGATTTAAATGGAATAAATTGGGTGATAGAACGTCTCCTGACTCGCAAAAAAATAAAATACCTTCCGCTTATCTTAACTTTAATATAAGAAAAAATTGAAATTCGTCCAGAAAAGATTTCTCTTGTATCTAAAATTCGCCAATATTTCGAATAAAATGGGTGATAAGTCACGATTCATACCTCAATTTCGTTTTATTTTTCTATATTTTCTAGATATATCTTCTGTTAGGTACGACGGTACATCAACCTGGAAACACAGGACGGATGATAAAGGTAGGTTTAAAATGTATACAGAGAATTTTATATACCGTTTTTATTGTTAACACGTCTACAATTTTGTATTGTTTAAACAGTTAAAAAATGGAAATTTAATAATAATAATAATAATAATAATTTAAATTTAATTATCATTTAATTTAAAGAATAATAGGTCATTTTAATGATGTATAAATTTATCAANAATTTTGTATTGTTTAAACAGTTAAAAAATGGAAATTTAATAATAATAATAATAATAAAGTAAAAATAAAACAAAAAGTAAAAATTGTTTTAAATTCATTGTTACGTAATAGATCGTAATTGAAGCATTGTTGCGTCATAATATAACAGCAAATTGTTTTGAATTTTACTTACAAAAATGAATTTTTTTTACTTTTATTAGTTTAAAAACTAAACAAAAAAGTCTTTAAATCTAATTCTTTATTACGTAACAACAAGCAAAATAAATAACAGAGCAAAATTCTTTGTTACGTAATAGATCGCATTGTTGCGTCATAATATATGATTATTACGTAAAATTTTTATTTTCTGTTTCGATTTTTTCTATTATTATTCTCTCTAAATTTATCAACTATTCAGAAACACGCTCATTATTAATATTGAATATAATTCACGTGTATAAAAATTAAAATAAATATAATTCCGTGACTTTGTATCAAAAAAAAAGAATTAAAAAAATGATATTTCACTGTAATACATAAGTATTTAGCATAATTTATTCGAAAATACTTAAAGTATTTTTGCCTTTTATCATTCTTTTATCCACGAACAGGTCCAAATCCCTCTTATCATCATCCGAAAGCGATTTATAAACTATATCTGGATTCAGTAAACGCTGTTTTATCATTTCCTTATGATAATCCGTTCCATACAGACCATAGATGTTAAGCACTTGTTGATAAATCGGCTGTCAAACTGGCTGCATTACTTAGATCCATCTGACTGTTGGTTAAGCAGACATGCAAACGTATTATGGAAGGTCCCCGCCAATTTCCTTTAAGTCAACAACCCCAAATTAAAGCAATCTCGGTTCCCATGACAACCGTTTCGCTTTCTCTTTACATTGCAAAGAATCGTTCCCCTCTAAAGACAAACATGAAAGGGAATACTTGAATTAATACTTGAAGTATGTCTTACCTTGCCTTTTTATCTTCATAAATACATTTATTTTCTTCCAATCGTGTATCGAGTGTTCACCGTAACGTCTCCTTAATTAATTTTTACATATCGTTACATTTTTGTTACGTCAAAAAAGAGGGTGGCGTTACGTATAAAGTATTGTTAATTCTTTAACGATGTCTGTCTGTTTAATTCTTCGAGCAGAAATTCAAATGTCCCTCGAATAATTTAATTAAAAAATAGAGAACAATAAGAAGTTTTTTTTCTGTTTTACGTCATGCTACATGTATTTATTACATAGGAAAAGAAATATGAGGTAATAATGCACGAAATCTATATATTGAATTTCGCAATAATAAATTTGATTTTTCGTATTGTTATGTTTTATTTCGTAATAATAAGAGAATATTGTTACGTGTTATTGCATGTTTCATTGTTTTAAGTCTCCGCATTGTTACGTAATTAAATTTTTGTGGCGTAATAGACAGAATTTTATAAATTTTTATTACGTACGAGTATAATGTTTTCACTCGATTTTAAAATTAAATTTTTTATATTTCAATCAAAATGATGTTTTGAATCATTCGAAACCTCATTTTCATAGTTTTGAATCAACGAAAACCTCAAATGAAATTTTATGACATTTTTTTATCTTTTTTTTTTCCTTTATTATTTTAGGTTGCTTACTAAGTCAAGTGGGTAAACCAGTCTTTTATCGTTACACACCAGTAGAATGGGGTACGTGGATGCAGGACACATACCCCAGAACATCCCAAGATTCACAGAAACTGTGGATGACCATAGACACCGATCCGGATCTTCTCTACGAATATTCAGACAAGGAGGCATTTCGTAAGGACAACTGCACTAAGAAGTACACCCTCCCATACAAATTTGTGGGAAACGGTCAGGTGATCCACAATGGATCCTTCTATTACCACAGAGAGAACACCAACCAACTGATTAAATTCGAATTGCAAAGTGGTACCATAACCATCTCGTCGATACCTGATGCATCACACCAACCGGATCAATTTCTATATTCCACGCGCCATAACTTTATGGATGTAGGCGTGGATGAAAACGGAATGTGGCTAGTGTATTCGAATTTACACAACACGAATACAATGGTGAGGAAACTGAATCCCGATACCCTAAATACCGAAGGTGTTTGGAACATCAGTCTGGATCACAGGCACGCTGGGGAGATGTTTGTAGTTTGTGGTGTGTTGTATGTAGTTCAGAGTGCCACAGAATGGAAATCTCACATAGCATCGGCGTACGATCTTTATGGAAACCAAATGGTCCATGTTAGTTTAGATTTCACCAACCCGTTCCGACAGAACACCATGATTTCCTATAATCCAAGATACGCTTTCATATACACATGGGATAAAGGAAACCAATTAATTTATCCGGTGCGATTTGTTAATCCAATTATTAAAAATTAACCCACCCCCCTTCGTGATATTTTTCTCTTCATAACCGTATTTTTATGAAGTTCAGAACTCAAATATATATATACATATATATGAGAAAAAAATTAATATAAAGATAAATTTATATTGGGCACACTCGCACTTTTATAATTTTAAATTTTAAAATAATAAAAATAATATAATAATAATAATATAAAATATAAATAAAAATCAAGTTGAATAATGATTTCTTTCCTTTAAACTATTCGTTCGTACCGAGTAAAGATGTGAATCGTGGAGGAAGTGATGCGGAAGAGCAACTGGATAACTATGTTCTTCCGCATCATTAAGGACTCTTTAAAGTTTAAATTTCGAATTAGAAAGTTTCAAATAGAATAAAATGGTATTTTGTCTAAGAACAATTTGTTAAAATAAGATTTTAGAATTTTTGTTTCCCGTTTTCTTTACTAACAACACGCATCAAATGCATGGTCCATCTTTAAATCTGATATAATGAGCGAGTGAAGACTTTTTACTGAAAGAGAAAAAATATATATATAATAGTGAATAGTGGACAACGTACACTAAATTGTGTAATTTTATTGAAAATAAATGTTTCTGTACAAAAAATAAATAAGTTTCTTGTAATTTAATATACATACAACACACATTTTTTTATGATTAAAAAACATTCTGGTAAGAGTTTTCTAATAAACAAGCACATTAATATATACAGTAAAATCTGCTAGTGTAAGACGACCACTTTGAGCTGATCCCTTCAGTAGTCAAATTAGCAGGTTTCACTGTATTTAATATTAACTCAATGAGAATAACATATTGTATTTTTAAATTACCTAGAGTTCAAAATTTACGAAAAATTCATTTCCTTTAATTGTCAAAAATATTTTCTGAAAATAAATAATAAACAAGCAAACATAAATTAATAAAGATGTTGTCTGTATACGAATAAATGGCAATATTTTTAATATTTAACGACGTGGAATATCAAAATAATTCTTTTTAACACGCCTAAATATGAAAATTACTAAGCTTTTAACTCACTTCTTTAAATTAAACAAAATTTAAAAAACTACAAATAAATTCAAATAATATAAAATGTAAATCACGCTACTTTTATTAAAATTTATAAATTCTTCTTAAATAATAAAAGTATACTGAGATATAATTATAATTTTATTCCTCGATTTATTAAGTATAATGCGTGCAAAGCATTATACTAGAAGAATCTCGATATATAAATTATTTATTTTTTAAAAAAATAGCATCATTA